AAAACTGATGATCATTAGCACCTGCTTCATATAATTGGTTAATCATACACCTGACTCTAATCCTACAAGATCCCTGACTTTGTGCAAATGTACAAAGTGTGCAAGTGTAAGAAGTGATGCTGGTTTCAAGCCAAAGGGTAGTCTCACCAAATATTGATTTGATCTGGATTTCTCTTCTGTTTGCTCACTTTGCATTTTGTAAACTGATAAACATAAACAATTACAATATGTATTTTTGAAAGCACTCTTACTTTACAGCATTTTTTCACATCTGCCTAAAACTTTTGCACAGTACTATATGTATATACACATACATACATACATACATACATAGTATTTATATTGTGTTCTAATTCCTGTTAACTGCCCTGAGTCACATTAGTGAAAGAGGGGGCTATATACAGTAAATCAATACAAATAAATAAAAAAGAAAGGGTCTGCGTTAGTATCAAAGGAGATAATTTAGGAAAGGAGCTGAAGACATCCATGGGTGCAAACATCAGGGAAAGCAAAGAAAGGCACAGGGTTGTAAAAGGAAAGAACAATCCCTATAGGAGAAGCAGGCTCAGGTAGAACAGGAACCAGTCACAAAGGCTTAATTTTGCTGCATGGAAGGAAAGGGCAAGGGGAATCATCAATCCACTCTTGTGGTGGCCATGGTCCAGACTGAGCCCCAGCCCAGCCCAGCCCCATAGCCAACCCACTGAATCTGGACTGGAATTTCAGGAGTTGGCTTAAAAACAACTGGGAGAGAAGCAGGTTGCTGCGGGGAATTGCCCTCAGAGTGAGTTCTGCCCTCCATAAATAGTCATCAGCACTTCTGATGACAAGGTAAGAAATGACAAGGTAAGAAATAAGTCCAGGTTTGCTTGTAGCTGAATAAATAAAATAATTTATGTTCCAGATAAGAAGGATGCACTTTTAGTTAAGGGAATGGCCAATCTATAATTGTTTTGCACTTTTCACCATAAATATCAGGGTACGCTATAAGGGTGGAGTACAATTCAAGTCTTCAAGGAGTCTGAAGCTTTCATTTCAATAGCAAAAACCTCAGAGTTCATGGTAAGTTTTCGCTTCAGAATAGCACTTGCAAGATTAGCATAAATTGTGCTTTAGTAACAACTGGCATTTATCAAGTCCCTTCTTACCACTCCTGAAGAAGAATCTTTAAGCCAGCTACTTCCATTGCTGCCAGCTATTCCTCTTTTTTTCCTGTAAAAGAAGACAATAAAGAGAGGGAAAAAATAAGAATAGAGAATGTTACTGGCACCTCCCTGTAGCACAGGACTCTAGCTACTAGCATGACCAACTATTGGCAGGGATGAGAACTGTGGTCAAAAATCATAAGGTTGCCCACACCTTCATTTTATAAAATGAACTTTATAAACTGCAGCATTAAAGCCCCATTATTTATTTTTTTCCAAAAGAGTTTCTTCTTATGGAATGCCCAGTGCCTTGAATTTCATAGTGACAAAAAGGGAGACTCAAAATGTACTATAAATATAGGTGAAAGGGAAAAAAAGATGTCAAAGTAAGTAATAATGAAGATTTTGGATTTTGTACATCTAAGGTATCTTTCCTCACTGAATTCTCTCTCATATAATCAGATGGAATCCGACCACCATATTAGAATGCCATCAATAGTTTACAATCCTATAATTATTTATATTATCATTTTCTATAGTCCATAGAAAATTAGTTGTGGTTAAGTCCCATTTAACATTAGGAAGCCTGAGATGTTATCATTAATAATGAAGCCTGATTTTAAAATCAAATTGATTTCAAAACTATATCAGAAATTTAAAAATATATTTAAAGTTGAAATTAGTGACATCTATGACTTATGGAATAAAGAGTTGTAATATCCAATAATGGAACATCAATAGATGTATCTTTAAAAATGTTGAGTTTTTCTCTTTAGACTGAGGTTGAAACTAATTCATCAAAAGATTTTATTCTGAGTTTATTGGATGCCCTCAAAGAGCGTATCCGAAAGGATCGACTATAGACTTTCTTGGCTGGTGATGTAAGAAGTCTGAGGGTATATTAACTCATGATTTGGTCATCTGGCTTTGGTTTCTTTTTGAAATAATACAGCAGCATATATACTGTGAGTAGATGTATGGGTAAATATTTTCATGTTAAAGATATTAATATTATTTTAAATTGTGGTATCTGACCGTTTTTTAGGAACTTTGGTTGTATCAGGCATGGAGAATAGCCAAGAGAATTATATTAAAAGACTCCAAAAGCACTACTACTCTGGATATTAAAGACTGGATTTAAGAAATATGTAACTTATCAGTTTTGAAAAGGCTATTTTTCTACTAATCAAAATGGGGCAATATCTCTTTGGCATATTTCATATTTTACAAGCATAGACAATTTTATATGTAATTTAATATATTGTTATTAAATATATTTGTGATATATTTAGACTATTTATAGCAATTTGACATGTTAATTCTTAGGGTATTTCTTGACTGTTTGGGGAATATAATTTAATAGCCAATTAGATTATTTGTTGGATGTGTTTTAATTTGTTTTTGTATATTGTTTTCTGTGTATTTTTTAAAACTGTAATCTTGAAAAATCCTATTTAATAACTGGAACTAATTTAAATCTGCTGATTTCAGACTACTGAAATATATATATTGATGAAGCTCTGGTCATTCATTTGCCACTGAATGAGAACTATTAGATACTTCAAAACTATATACCTGAATAGTTTCTAGTGGGTGCTGTGGTTCCTCTGATGCCTCCTTGAACACATTTTTAGTATATGGTGAGTTAGGAGAAGAGCAGGACTTTGAACTGACCTCTCTGTTCTAAGCTTATATGTTGCTTTGTTTGCCTTAGACAAGGGTTTTCTGCCAAACAGGTGAAATTAAGCATATAATTTTGCAGTAGTTCCTCTGTAGGAGGAGACGGTGCAGAGGAAATATCCAGCATAGCTGCTTTCATCACGCATCAGCATCTCTGAAGCAATCACTTATTTCAAATACTTACAAGAGTTCTCGGCACATGACACACTTATTGGTATGGGTCTTGCCATCAGGGCCAAAAACAGGGTCCATGTCTCTGTTGCAGTATAAATTCCCGTTCATTAGAAACTGTTGGAATTCATGGCACATGCCCTCCTACAGAGATAAAGGAGCATGGAATGAAGCTTTCCTGCTTCAGGAACGTCTATGGAAAACTTCCTACAGTGTAGTGGTCCGTCTGAGCTGGGAGCACAATGGTTTCTTTCTAGAGAATAGTATATCCCGAAAAGAATGGGATTGCGCAAATGCTCCTCCCCATTCATGGAATGTAAAGTGAAGGGCCAGATGATGGCATTTTTCATTTGTAAAACTCTTATGTTTTTTCACCATTCCTATACGTTTTTGTTACTAGAAATATTAATTTAGAAGTTAATTGCATTGCACAGTGCCTTAGGAAATGCTAGGAATTACCCCTCTCAGGGCAGGCTAGAATAGTTTTTCTCGTAATTCTACACCAAATTATACTAATACCCCCTGGTACACTGTGTCATAGATGTTGCTTGATGCTAACTCCGACCATTGGTTAATATTACCTGCAGTAACTGACATGCCCTTTGGGTTTTACTTAGCCCTACTTGGGTGGGATGGGTTGAACTAAGGCCTTGGGATGCAAGAAATATGTTCTATCGCTGAACACTTCTGGATTTAAGATGCCATTTGTAATGGCTGTGAGAATAACCCTGAGGAAACACTGAGCAAGGACAGAGGGGAGCAATGCTTGAGGGATAAGATAAGAAAAGAAAAGAACAGATAAATCTGAACTAACCTGGTATTTAACTTGACCGGTTACATCTGAAACAAAAACAGATTTTTTAGATTTTTTTAATTTATTTTTTTGCAGACTTTCATAGAAATGACTAAGTTTTACTTAATACTGAAAGATGATAAGCAGTTAAATCTGATATTCTCCAATCCAGTTCTAGTTACGCTTTGCAACATATGAGATAAACAGAGACAGCCTTAGATATCATCAGGAGTAGATCTTCAGAAATAGTCCTGCCTGCCTCAGACTAGTCTATGAGATAGTCCATCTCAAATTTTTCAAGAAAGGTAAAACAGTCAGCTGGCTGCATAAAGAGGGAAGAACAATTGCATCACCTGTACCTTTCTAGTAACAGTGACTCCAAGGTCTCCCAAGCTGGATAACAACCTTTAATCTAAGTTTGGCAGAATTGTCCTAAACATCTGACACTATATTATTATTTTTTATTTGACTATGGTAACTGTTGGTTTAGATAATTTCCTTAGCATTCTTAAACTGCTGACTACCATTTGCAAACAGCTTGATTGAGAACTGTTTCCACTTTCTCCCTCCTTTAGCTCTCCAGTCAGTTTCCTGCATTGCCCTATCAGCATCCAAGAAGACCTGTCTGCAAAATATTACCATCCATCTAAAAGACTGTGATTGGAGTGACCAATGGTTGATTGGGAAGATATTTTCAGCTGAGGATAGTCACTAGTCAGTCAGAAGTCATGAGCAAATGTCATTACTTTCTGGCTGGTTTTGATTAGAGGAGATGAGAAGCCTTCAGTTCCACATATTCCTAGGATGAAGATAGACTGTCATAGACATCCATTGACTCAAGTGAAATTAATCTATATTCAATATTGGGAAAGACCATGAGAAATGGAGCACTGATTCAGAATCTAAATTTTCTGAATCTGAACCACAGTCTAGGTAAGTAAGCCTCAAGAAACAGAGAACCCTTCAGTTTCAAACATGAGCAAATTCAGTGTCTAAAAAACCAACCTAAGGTCCTAGGATAACCATCTATCCACCTGAACTTTCCAGAGTTACACTGTCACATCCTGCTATTCACATCCATTACTGCAAAGACAAAGTCATCAGCTAATAACACTTGCAAAGGATGCATCAATGACAAATGTTGGGATTAAAAAAAAATCCAGTAATTGAAAAAGACTACTAGACCAGACTAGTTTAATGCTGGATTACTCAATTTTTCTGGCACTGAAAATCTACGTATGTATGCAGGAAAAAAAAAATCATTTCAACTGTCTTAGTTGTAGTATGTCTTTTCATAATACACAGTACATGACAATCTGAGTAACCTAAATTCAGCAGAACACTCCCAATTTCATTTTTCTTCCTATCCACTGTGCATTCTGTTAAAAACAAATTGTGTTTCATACTGCATCTATGCACTGATGCAAAACTCAGGGTCATTTATTTTTCCCCCTTACCCAACAACAACAATTGTTTTCACCACAACAGTTGTGCTCAAATTCAGGTGCCATCCTTTGGTGAAAATATAGAGTGTGAAATAAATAAATAGATAATAAATTAAAATAAATCACCCTTTTCTCTTGCAAAAAGATTAAATAATATTTATAAACAATAAAAAGACCAATTATCCATATCATAAATAGTCATGCCAAAAAGTTGATGATGTAATGTGAGTAGAATCAAACCAGCTGATTCTTTTCAGCCCCTTCTACAATAGTTTGATATTCTTGTGTCTTTGTAGTACAGATGATACTGAACCCAGTCCACACACAAAAGCATGATACTTAATACATCTATCACAGAGATCTGTATTGGCCATAACAAATATAACTTACCTTCAAATTGGATGAAAAGCGCCGGGATTAAAAAAAGACTTATTGCCTTCATGGTTAGGACAGCAGAAGCTAAAGATGCTTTGACTCTATTTGTACATTACTCACAAGAGTTCTCAAAGAAGAAATCCTAATTGTGTAAATACATATAGGAAGCCAGTTTCTCCACCCACCTGATGACATAAACTTCAAAACAGCCATCATTAACTATGAAAACCAGTCCGCTGACAGTTGATTTGAATTCTAATAAATCCATCAACAGAACTTCCATCAGGATGCAACAGGCTAGGAAGCACACCCTGGATTTTGTCAAAGCATTTGCCAATAGGTCATCTCATTTCTCATCTCAGGCAGACTGTGCTACTGTGGGATATTTGTAAATATCTCTTTGTAAATTCACAATAGGAATATAATTGAAGAAAGGCAAGACATACCTACAATAGTAATAAATAATAGCTTTGGAAGGCTGCATTTCAATATCGGAGGGCCTTACAATTTAACTAATAGATCCAAAACAAGAAGGTGAGATACAATCTTTAAATAGATTTCTGATAAATAGCTAATAAGGAATTGAAGTCTCATCTAGAAGCTTTCTTGTTTTATAAAGTTTCTGGTAAAGATCAAGAAAGAACACCAAGCAACTAGACACTGAGGAAATTCCTGTCTCCTCTCTTCCCCAAGAGAAGCCATCTTGCAAGCCGACCAACTCATGAGAGAAGAGGACTCCATGTGCATCTTTGGGACAATCCATCTTGTGCACTAATCAACCTTTTCTATTCTGACTCCAAAGTGTGGTGATGCACATATAAATAAAAGATTGACTTACTGATTGACTGGATGACTGACTGATTGAAACCATTTTTGCTCATGTTCCAAATTAGAAGTATGTGACTATTTGGACCTGAAGTGGAAAAGGACCTTCAAAAGGGGTGTGGGCACACTCATTGCACCTATCGGTGACTCCTTAAAAAGCCACACACCTTTTCCTGGGTTTGCACAGTAGTTGTACAGTCCCCAGAAATACACATTTGTGTTAAGGAGGCCTTAAGAAGTTGCATCCTGTTAGAGCCTCCTTCACTTGAATTTTTCTGGAATCACATAGCTACCAATTAGAGTAGCTGTACTTCTGCTCTAACCATCTGATTCACACACAAGATCATATGTCCTGTAACAATTAATAATAAAACAATTTTAAAATACATTTGTTTTTAATCTTATATGGGACTTGCTTCAGTATCCCTTTCAAAATATCCTATAGAGCAACCTTGATAATCCTGTTTTGTGTTAGAAATAACCTCAATTAAATAAAATTGTATACCTCTTCCAGAGAATTATAAAAAAGGAGTTGAAATTAGAAAAATTCTTCAGAGGAAAACACTGTTCTTTTTCTACCATGCACAAATTCTGTAGGGGATTAAAAAAAAACAAAACCTTAATTTTCTTTAAAGAAAGGTGTTAGGTATCTGTGGCCCTTCAGAGGCATCTGAACTATAGCTTTCAATGGCTCTTAGTTCATGATTCTTATCTAGAGAAATAATGTAATTTGCTAGCAAAGATTATGTTATGAATTACCAACCACCCAAAATATTCCGACAAGTATGTAGAGAGAAGATTTTAAAACAAGAATAGCTCATCTAGATCTTCAGTTCCCCCAAAACCTGATGAAATTTCTGGAATGTTCTGTTCAGCCTGCTCTAGTACACAGTCACAGATTCTAATAATTCATACCTAAAAAGCCAAATGTGATCGAGGTGGAGATAAAATGTAAGGATGTCACACAGGCAATACATGGAGCTGTCTTCCCTTGAGAATAGTCACTTGGCTGCATATCCTCACAACACCAAAGGGCCTTTACTCTGGCATGATGTCATGCCCTCCCCTCAGCTGTCCTCAAAGGCCAATACCAGAAGATTCCTTGCCCAGAGAGACAATGGCCTGGCTCTCTGGACATACAGAAACAACAGAGCATGTGCTTCTCCAGAGACATTCGTACTAGCCTCATCTCACCATTACTGCATAAATACCCAGGGTATGCACAACCATTTTACACCACCCTGCTGCTTTCAGGTACCAACCCTGCTACAACATACAGTATTGTCAGGTTCTGTGCAGCAGCGCTCAAAATTTGTTGGATTATGACCTGTGCTATAAACTAGATTTAATGAACACCTAGTCTGCCATATTAGAGTGCTCTGTGACTTGATAGATATAGTCTTCCACATATCAATCTTTTATGCTCCCCTACATCCATCTAATGCTCCTACCCCTTCTTTTAGATTCTTTTAGGTTCTTGTTTTTTATATATACTTTCTGTTTTTAATTCATATATCTTTCATATCTTCTAGCTTTCATACTTTTTTTCAATTTTTATTTTTACTCTGATGTATCTCTTTTTTACTCTGATTTTTTAAACTCTTTTTTTTACTTTTTTTACTCTTTTTTTATTTTTATAAATAAAAAATAATTATAAAAAAAATTTTTTTTAATTTTTTTTAATCTTTTTTTACTCTGATGTATGA